AATTAAATTGCATCTGTTGCCCTTTTTTCTTTTTTTGCAGTACTGATCAACATTTTATAGCAAATACCATTTGGCTCAGCTATTATACTTCAAAGAATATTACCCACAGATATACAGGAGGTTTCCATTATCTAAGTATAGCTAAAAATGGAAAAAGCCCATTTAAAGTTAATCCACTTAAAATAAGGACTAAAATTTCATAAAGAGAAAAAACAACTAAACTGGGGCGTTTTCTTCAAGACTTACACAGAAAATGAGTATAAAGAACAAACCATAAAAGATGTTAAAGATTTTGGGCGAAATTTGGTGGCAAAATTAATAAAAGCATGAATTCAGTCAGTGAACATTTACTGAGGGCCTATAAGTAAATATAGTAAACAAAGATACAGTATTGAGCAAGAAGACAAGGCTCCCATTTATTTCCATGGAGTTCTCGTCCTAACAGAGCAAGACAGACATCCTTCACTTCATTTTGACTTTCACAACACAATCATAAAGAAAAAAGCTCATTTCTGCAAAAAATAATTAATGGTATCATTAAATATACCCAAGGACTCTTACTCTTACTGAATCCACTGATATTTAAACCATAATCTTTTAAAGCCCCTATTGTGTCATTCTTGCAGAGGTTTTCTCCTTCAAGTATTAGCTAGCCTTGTTTGTCACTGTTTTTGCCAGGAATTTGAGGAGTTTAGTTATTTTGTCCAGTTTCACTAAATGGTGCACCTTTGCCAATATTTACAATTGTACTGATTCATCACCTCCAATACCCCGCTATCTGAAAAGAAATGACACGAGTGTTAAGAATGTATACATATATGGGGTGGGGGGCTTGAGAATTAATTCCTTAGGTGTAAAGTTAATGATGAATATTAGTGCCTATTTTCATTTTCCTCTGCAACTAAAGGCACTTGGAGAGTAAATTTTCCAAAACAAAGATTCGAGGTTCTCTGTACAAAACAAAAACATATGTATCTTCTTTTTTGCAACACCAATTTAAAAGTAAAGCCAGGAAACTACCCGAAAATTCCATCAATAAGAAACTGGTTGAATTAAGGAACATTCACAAATTATGATAAAGAATGTGACAGCTCTATATGTAACAAAGTGCAGAGATGTACAACATTATTAGAAAAAAATCAAGGATGTACAGTGTGAATGCACTTGTGTAAAAACAGATAGCTGCATGTGTTACTTCTACAGGCTTTTATATGTTAAAATTTTCTGTGTGAACACAAGAGAAACTATTAACATTGATTAATTCACATCAAGCTAGTCTCAAGTATGTATTTTTGGTAAACGACTCATAAATAAAAAGTCTGGCTTTTAAAAATATTCATGTTAAAAGTACCACTAGGAGCTTGGGGACCTATGCTATCTGCACCATATCAACAACAATGAAACACATGCTCAAGTTTACTGTACAAAGCAGCGATTATGGAGGAGGACACAGAATAGTGAACAAATTCCTTTACCTCTCTGAGCATCTCAAGCAGATACTACTGAGGTGCTCATATGAGCAGTGTGGTGTGAAGACAGGAAACAGTTTTAAACAAGTGGTTCAGCCAACTTAGTCATTTCAAAAATGCGAACGCCTACTTATGTGTACTCAGTTTGCACCCTGCTAGGTGCTTAAACATGATGAACAAGACCAATCTGGCTACTATCTGCCCAGGAACCTCTAATCTAGTTTAAGAGAGACTGACCAAATAATCGCAAAAAAAAATATGTAAAATTGAAACTGTGCTACAAAGATGATTCTTTGGAAATTGAGTTTAAGAGGTGGAGACTGAGTTTAAAATGTAAATAACTCAACATTTTTTTTTTTTTTTTTTAAGATAAAATTGTGGTAGGCTAGCAGGTCACCTTAATCTTTTTTTTTTTTTTAATAGAAGATAACCATTCCTAAGGGGGGGAGGGATAAATTGGGAGATTGGGATTGACATATACACACTACTATATATAAAATAGATAACCAATAAGTACCTACTGAATAGCACAGGGAACTCCACTCAATATTCTGTAATGACCTATATGGAAAAAGAATCTAAAAAAAGAGTGGATATATGTCTATGTATAACTGATTCACTTTGCTGTACACCTGAAACTAACACAACATTGTAAGTCAACTGTACTCCAATAAAAATTTTAAAAATTTAGAAAAAAAGAAGATAGCTATTCCTAGAAGATTACCATTCTTTCTTGAATTCAGCTTCAGAAAGCTTCCACAGATGAATTCTTGTATGTTTTCTTTTGTAAGACAACGAAAGTTATTTACTCCAGCTGTCAAATTCAGTGATGTTCAATGTTAAATATTTTAATTCAGGCCTACACAAGTACTTCTACCTCTGGTCCTTGGTTGTTCTGTTTTATCTGGTATATTTAATCCTATAAATCTAATCAAATGACTTTGGAAAAAATACATATATATCCCACCTGTGTTTGCATGCCTACAGAAAGCTTAGCTTGTTACTTCAAGCAACTGTAACTCAAGTCATCATTATTCATCATCTATTTTTCTGTAAGAGTTACTTAAATTGTAAATATAGAATACTTGTGGAGCTAATATTTTAATATGTCCCAACATCATAAAGTTAAAACAAATGACTGTTTTTCCAAAGACAGAAATGTTAAGGAAAAAACCCTACTTTAAAAAGGGCACATATTTAGCATAATTTACTCAATAATTATTTACTAAGCTACTTAGTCCATGCCTGCAAGTGCTAGGTCCTGAGGATACTACAATGAATATGATACATTTCCTATTTTTTTAAGGCGCTCAGAGTGTAGTGGTAGAAAGAGGAAAAAAAAGAACAGGATTCAGCATAATGTGTGCCATAATGAACAGCACATAGGATATGCTGTGCAAGATCAGAGAAGATAGAAACCACCTTTGCCTGTAAGGCACAAAGTCTCCACAGAAGGAATATTTATGATAAGTTCTCAGGTCAGCCAAAAGAAAGTGTTTGGGTGTGCCTCCTTTAACTGGGAACATCTAAAAACACAGCTATTGAAAAATGGTTTTTAAGGATACTGATTGAATCACAGTGTCACAGGACAATTTCTATATTCAAAGAACTTTGTGTCATGAATCTCAGGCTTATGATAGGTAGGAGAAAGAAGATTAAATGGTTCTTCCCACCTCAAAACAGAACTCCAAATTTATCATTTATGAGTAGGCAAAGCAGATTTTAATCTAATATTGTGTGGTCAAAATGTTCACAATAAATTTGACTGGAAACCATATAATATTATGTTAGAATTGGAAAAAACTGAGTCTTTGACACCTTTAAAATTATAGTTAAAGCAACAGTGTATAGAGACATGCAGGCAAAAAAACAGAGTGTCTCTTTGCTAAACAAATCTAACAGGTGTAAAAAGACAAATGCCCAGGAAAGAACTTGCATCATCGGCCTTAAAATTCCGTCAGTAGATCAACATGACAAAGAACCACACTTTATTTAAATTAAAGAAAGAAAACAAAGACTCTACTGACTACATGCAAAAGTCAGATTCACCTATCTGAATCCAATAGATGACAAGATCAGACAAGTCTCTAGAAAATGACATACAACAGAATAAGCTTGACTTATTTCTTGTATTAGTATGCTATCAGTTTTTAAAAAATTAAAGTCATAAAAAAACTCTACATACGAGCCCAATTTATAAATCAATGATGCAGCAAGTCTGTAGCTATCAAAATTGCTTCCCTTTTGGCTACTAGCAAAAAGCTAAATAAAGAGGTGATTTTTGTTTATTTCCTAATTAGGTAAACCAAAGAACTCTGAAGCAAAATTATCTGACAAAAACGCTTCGCTTTCAGCTCAAGTTAGAGGGTAACTGACGCCAAATAACTACCTGAAATGATTAGGCAAATCCTAGGATTCTCACAGGATAATGTTTCTAAAAGACTGAAATCAACAGTAAATTATTTAATCAACCTATTGATTGATAAAAGGTCAGGATACAATTCAGGTCTTAAAATATGAATGGCATCAAATCCACATTTCAGGTGGAGAAACAGAAGGAAAAAATAAGAGTAAATGGTTAGAACTTGCCCAAGGAAGGTCAGAGTTAAGTAGCAAAACTAGAAGCACACTCAGATTCTTAACTCCAAGGAGACTGTTCTCTTCCTGACAGTAATGACATGTACATGGTTCTTTCCGTAAAATTTAGACAGTGAAGTCAGATGACTTGCGTTTCTGAGTTAAACAGACGTTGCCCTTTTAAGAGCCAAATTTCGTTCTATCTTCTCTTTTTAAAAGCATAAAATTCCTTCCAACATAAAATACAAGAGAATTTAGATAGAAAAATTGTAGACAATAATTTAGTTTTAATTAGGTACATTAATAATTTAGCATTAATTTCCTCTTATTCATTCAGAATGTAAGGAAAAAGTACTCATTTTTTACCCCTTGTAGTCTTATTTCCTTTTAAAGAAAGCTACCAGTAAGTATGAGCACTTATAAAAGCATTCTTGTAAACATTTAAAAAAAAGCACTATCTACAATGAAATACAAATTTCCCAGATTTCTTTAGAGTCTGAAGAAAAGAAGTGGGCTTTTTAAAGGAAAATGCTTGCGACTGCAGAGGTCTAAGGATAAACCAGGCATTCCCTTCAACAAATTAAGATGCATTAAATGGAAAAATGTTGATAATGAAGACAGGCTACTTTACCCACTTCAGACAATTTATAATGCAATTAAAGGCAGCAAAGTAACAAGATGCTATGAAATGCTCTTCAGATCTCTGCAAGTCACTAGTGTAAGGTGAAATAGTGGCATGTATTCTTTATCTCTTTATTTAAAGTTTACTAAATAAGCCAAGCCATTAATCCAGGTTCAGCCTGTACATCCTATTCTGATGGCAAATCTAAATGCTTCTGATGAAATGTTTATGCTCTTAAACTAAGTTTTAACGTCTATCTTTATTTTGCTTTAAGAATCAAGTGTTATGTTTATTAAGGCATGCAGTCAGGTCTCTTCAGCTCCTGGTCTTACCTGCTGAATCTTCCAAATCAATCAGTTTGGGCATTAAGCTTTCAGGGAGTTTTTCCGGTAAGTCGTAGCCATTCTTCCTAGCAACTACCAGATGAAAAGCAGCACAAAACTCATCCAGTGTCAAGGCTCCATCTTTATCAAAGTCTGAGAGTTCCCTGGAAGAAAAACTTATTATTAATATAATCATATTCTGCTTTGACTCCCTTTAGGTCTCAGAAAGGAGAGAAATCCTTTCCCAGAAAATTGCAATCTATAATTTTTAAAATTCCATAGATGGAAAGATATGTAATAAAACAAATATAGCAAACTGTTAACTGTAGGCAGCGGGCATATGGGTGCTCAAGGAACAATTCTTTAAACTTTTCTGTATGCCTTAAATTCTCATAATAAAATGCTGAAGAAACAGTCCCAATAAAGTAAGTCACCAAAAAATGACCTTTACCCCATATGCATTTTTAGTAACAGGATTTAGTTAAAGCTAGGCTTAGTTAGTAAGTCACTGAAATTTTTAAAAACTGCTTTTACTGTTATCAAACCTCTACATGTATGCACTTTAAGGCATCCAATAGAATTACAAGACTTGATACAAAGAAAGAGCAGCCCCACCCTGATGTCGATTTTCTGGTTGCAGATGCAACCATTTTTCATTCATTACCTTAAACTACATAAATAGCATGCATATATTGCTAGTTCTTGATTTTTTGGTTTTAGGCATTATCTACCTACTTCCTACCATAGCATCCTATGCTTCTAAAAATCTTAATAACAAAATAATTTAGAATGTAAAGAAATACACTGATATACAGTAGAAATAACATTTGTTTATCCAATAAGTGTTTTTAAAAAATAATTTGTGATTGTAATTTGTGTTTTAATGGCTAATTTCAACTACACAGCAGCTATCCTGAGTCTCAGTCTATATTTAAATGGCAGCTAAGCATGTCCTTAAGATCACGCCTTGGTATAGGACTTACTAAACTTGTTAAAAAACAAATGTGATAAACATAACCATGTATGAGCAAACTAGCTTTTATTCCACACATTATGCTTTCAACAAGAAATAGGTGATACAGCTTAAAGAATTTTTATAACCCATTTTAAAGAACTACTACAGTGTTATCACTTATTTCTTTTCTAAAGAGTGAGAGAGAAGCTGGCTATTATAAGGCAATACTGGGTTCTTTGAGAATATTCCTGAAAAGGTTACTCTAATAGTTTATTTTTTAAAGTTCAAAAATCTACCTGCTATAAACTCCTCTGAAACAACCCACATTACCCAACTAATGATATACCACACTTACCAAATATGAGAAAGTTCAAGAATAGGAAGTTTTGATTTTGTAAAAAACTCTTTAGCTGCAGATCCTGAAATATTAAAACAGTGTTGTTTAATGTTATTCTGAACTTACAGCTCCAAGAATAAAATGTGAGGTAAGAGTCTTAAGACTTTTGTCACTGAGAAAAAGGTAACCGTAACATGGGTACATGCTATGTTTTTGGTTTCCAGCGATTATAAAGTTTTTAGGCAATTTGAGAATTAATTTATCCTTTATAATCTCTGACCAATAAAACCATGTTTTTTAGATTATGAAATTGAGATTGTCCTATCCCATCTAGAAGAACTTCTGTTTTTAACAACTCACCTGGAATAAATCCGTTTAGATCAGGCTGAATGGTTTTAAATTGATTTACATAATACTGTCTTTGTTCATCTGTTATTTTCCAGGGATCGTCATAACTACTGGATTGCCTACGAATTTCATTGGCAGTTGTAGCTGATGCTACAGTTCGTACTGTTGTCTGGTCCTGTAATGAAACATTTTTTCCTCAGTACAGCATCTATCTATATGATTACATGGACCAAGATCGCTAGGTTACTTATCTTTGAAAGTAAAACTTTTTGTGGATGTTTAAAAAATAAGAAGTCTTCACAAACTCATCAGCAAACCACATATTTGTTACATAGGTTATTAAACGTTTTCACACAATGATTATATAAATGTGTAGAACGACAGCAATATGTAAGCAACAGAAAGTTATGTAAAATGTGCTAAGAAAGCCAAGCAAATATATTCCTAGATGCAGAAACCTTTCAAAGCTTCACTATGGAATTAGCAAGAAAATCAGCCAAAACTTTCAGTGAAACATTCCAATGAAAACAGACTTGAAGAAAACGCACAGAGTTCTGTTTTTTTTGTAAAAGAGTGAACTTGCATTTATAAAATTTGCAACAGCAAAATATGAAAACAATGACTGCAGCAATACTCTGAATGAAGCAAATAAAAATGCAATACCAATAAAATGTCACACCTGGACAGAAGCAGGATGCATGGTTAAAAGAGTACTGGTTGGTGGAGTATCTGCAAAACTGACCCAATTTTCTTGAGGTGGAGGTGGAGAATGCCCTGACCATACTGCATCACCAGCAGAAGAACCTAAAAGCAGAATGGGTAAACATGCTGACTCATTTTTGGAGGAAAAAAATAGTTACAAGGTTTTTAATGATAACAAATCACCACACACATATAAAAGTTTTCTTTTAAATGCTAACTTTGAAGAAATGTTAACAATTTCCAAAATGGAATCTTTTCTGTCAATTTAAAATTATACCTCATTTGGTATAACCAATTTATTGCTGTAATAAGCAATATAGCAGCAGAATTATTTTTACAACAAAGTGTACTTCCCTTCACTAATATAATCTATACTTAGGAATATACCCCTAGGAATATTTATTTATTCATTTTACCCTTCAGAGAATCTGATCCCAGTAAACTTTTGTCTAAGCATCACAGATATAAATAAATGCAATTACCACTCTGCAAAGTGATATATCTACTTAGAAACTTTCACAGCTGGCTTTTGCTTCTCTTTAAGGCACTTAACATATAATTAAAAATTGACTTGGAGGCAACTCTTAAAGGAACATTATCAAGTTTTCTTCAATTTACAACGCTTAATAAATGTTACTTTAAAAAAATTTCTAAATACCTGATTGTGCTTCACCAAAGGGAGACCAAAATGGCCCAGGTCCTGCAAGAGGCCTCTCACTGTTTCCTCCACTGGGATGGCGGCTGTGCTTCCTCCATGTGTGTGGAGAAGTTGGTGGAGACTGCTGTGGCGAAACTACTGGGGATACAGGTTCCTAGAAAAACATCGTTACTTTAAAATTTAAATTTTAAGGTAACATTTTCATTACTAAGGCACTCAATAAATGTTTCAGTGTAAGCATTAGCACAGGACATCAACTGATAGCATTTACATGCACGTGCTTACCTGCTGATCTGCAGATGTACGAGGCTGGCCAGTATCATGGCTTGTGGATCCCTTTTTCACTTGCCCCCTGCCCGGTGGTGGGGGAATTACACCAGAATAAGACCCTTGATTTTCAGAATCTGAAGAATATGAGGCTGCATGACGAGATTCCTGTTCATTCTTTGAAGCAACAAATCTTGGCAGAGGAAGGTCCTTTACTGTTAACCACAAAAATAATTATTACTTCAAAATAAAAAAAGGTATACACATGAAAAACTGAAATAAGAGATGAATTTGACATTAGAAAGAATTTTTGCAAAAACTGATACAGAAACAACAGGCATAAAATGTTTACCTCTACAAAATTCAGATCATCTCTCTTAGATTGTTTAGGGAAACTTTAACCTAGAAAGAAGTAACACCAAACTGTCCTTAAGGAGTTAAGCTGTATTAAATGTTCATTGCATGTCTGGCCCTATGCTTGTACTTTGTATCTATCTCGTCTCATAACCATTATCAACCCCATTTTACAGAGAAAGAAACTGAGACTCCAAGATACCAAGGTCATTGACAGTTAGGATTTCCACCCAGGTGAATCGGACCCCGAAGCCTAGGCTGTTTCTACTCACACTGGTTCCCTAAAGGAAGATGTTAGAGCTCTAAGCAAAATAAGAATATGTCACTAAGTTTGAGACTAGATTAATCTAGACATTTTCATTGCAGAAATTCCTGAAAACAACTTACTGTTCACCTACCAAGGACACAGAACAAGGCGTCAGTTATACCCACCCACTTCAGTCTAGCTTATGACACTCCTACAGGCAAATATTCTACATTCAATTTTAAGTAGAAAAGAGGATAAAAGACTGAGAATTTCTCTGCACACTTTTAGACTAGAACAGTACAGCACCAAAACCATTTTTAGAGGAAAGTGTACTTCCCTCCACCATGATTACCAGAATTTCTCTTTAGAATCTCCACATTAAGAAGGGAAAACATTGTTTATTCAGCATTTATGTAAAGGAATTCAAAATTACCTGGAAAGAATGTAAACTCTCAACTCTAGAACAATGATATGTGGCAAACCAGAGCTCCACAATGAAAACCTCTGGATGACTAATAAACTGAGCTGGTACTGAAAACTATGTTATAAAAATTCTAACATCAGAGAAAACCTCAAGTTTTCTCTTGCCCGCCTTTCCTATGAAAACCAAAGAACTCTGCATTTAAGTGCCTACCTTTATAGAATTTCCATCTACTTCGGCATCAATGAGCCTCCAAATAACAGAAAAACAAATTATCCTAGGTGACATTTGTAAGGTGGTTAGATGCTTGTATTTGGGTTTTAGTCTGCCAATATTTTTAATACTGTGTCTTTCAATCAAAGTTTTGGTTAACTAATACTTTCTAATTTCAAATGGAGCTTTCATGGCTTTTCCAAACAGGAAAACACAAAGTATAATGTTGTTTTATACTTAGTTAGTAGAAAAGAATATAAGGAAAGCATATATGAAGATGGGCACTATAATTCATCATTTACCTTGATAAAATTATTCATCTAAATTCTAAGCAATTTTTAGTAAATTAATTTTTAAAAATCACCATTTTAAAAGTTTTTATATTACCATCAAATATGTATGAAGTACATATATGCCATAACAGAGTTAAGACAGACATATTTTTCTAATATTAACAAATGAAAAGAGCATGGTAGTAAAAGACATGACACTAACTCAACGTCACAAATGCCACTGAAACATCAGAAAGACTCAACAGTTCTGACTTTACTTCATTTGTGATTAGAAGTTCATTTTCATTTCAGTTACTAATATATTCCATATTTACCTGTATTTATACTTTCCACTCTTAAGGGGAAGCCAGACTGGGCAACAGCTACAAGTTTCAAAGCAATATAGAACTGACTTCTTCCAAAATAACCAAGTCTAGTTGCACCACAAAGCTCCATAATCTATAAAAGAACACAATGTTAACATTAAGAATTATGACAATAATTCTCCACATAAGCAGCTATCTAACTTCTGTTTATCACTTCTCCAAAATACATAGCTGACATATGGTATATTACTCTCAACTGACAACCAACTTCCTCAAGTTTCAGGTTTAAATGTTTGAAAATAAAAACGCACTGACCTTACAATAAGAGGGTTATCACTCTCCTACGTATTAAAATTCATGTGATAAGTAACTACATTTTATTAAGAATCACATCTTTTAGAAACAAATGTACCACCTACTCTTCTTCATAAACACTGTGCATACAATAGGGCCAAAAGTTTCTGCAACTAATAGATTATTAAGCAGCCATTTAAAGTAAGTCATAAAATGACATACTAAGTGGGAAAAGGCAGAAGGCATAATTTTAACTACATAAACAGAACTTTTAAAACAAACAGATATATAAAAATTCTACCAAAAAATTTGTTAGGTGAGATTAACAGTATGGTTTTTTTCCCTCTTATTTTCCAGATTATATTTAATGTGGTTATACTACTTTTCTTTAAAACAATTTTTGTTTGTTTGCTTTTTTTTTTTAAAGCATGAAGGCTTTCAAGGATCATTCTAGTCACTCAACAAGTATTTCTCGACTGGCTACTACAAGTATCAGACTAGAAAAGAGAATTTTGAATTACAAGATTAAATTATAATCCCCAAAGGTGGAGTAACATCTACTATACAGACATCATAAAGTAATCTTAAAACAAGCACTAAGTATCCTTGTCTCAGCTTCTCAAAAAATTCAACTTCTTGTACAAAGGGAACATATTTTGTCTATTTTCTTTTTCCCAAAACACTCCAAGGAAGATTAAGGTACCTGAGACGCTGTGGTACTAAATCAGAAGTATTTACTAGAATTGCAAAAAAGCAACTATCAATGGTTCAGCAACATATCACAATAACAATAACCATTTGTTTACTTGCACAAGGAAAAAATACAGTCATTTGTGCTATGAATAATCAGCACAGGAGGAAGTTGCTGTTCTGCCACTAAGGGGCAGTGATGTTGGAATTATCAGGCCAGGAATTTAGAACTATGATTAATATGTGAAGGGCTCTAATGGATAAAGTAGACACCATAGAAGAACAGAATAGGCAATATAAGCAAAGAAATGGAAATCCTAAGAAACCCCCCCTCCTCCCCAAAAAAGCTAGATATCTAAAACACTATAAAACAAAGAATGCCTTTGATGGGCTTATTAGTAGACTGGACATGGCTGAGGAAATAATCTTCGAGCTTGAGGATCTCAGTAAGACCTCAGTAAGACCTCTAAAACTAAAAGGGGAAAAAACAGAACAGAATATTTGAAAACTGTGGGACAACTACAAAAGGTATGACAATTACAATAAGTTATGACAATTACAATAAGAAGACAAGAAGGAGAATAAAAAGAACAGAAAATTTACTTGAAACAATAATAACTAAAAGTTTCCCCCAAATTAATGCCAGAAACTGAACCACTGATCCAGTAAGCTAAGAGAACACAAAGCAGAATGAATGCCCAAAAAAGTACACCTAGTCCCTTTACAAAAATTAACTCAAAATGGATCACAGACCTAAATGTAAAGCATAAAATTATACAACTGCTGGAAGATAACATATGTATTCGGGGTGCTTAAGAAAAAGTGGGTTTTTTTTCTTTCACCTAATGGAATAACACTATTAAGAGTTTTTGTTTTGTTCTGTTCTTAATGATTTGTGACTTTTTCCTTTTTGCCAATGTAGCATTTTTGCTCTATCAGCAGTCTTTCTAGTCATTGCCTTTCTACCTTGTATGCCATGGCTTAGAAAAGGAATCAACCTTTTAATACTGTAGAAAACAAGAATAAATAGTTCTTTAATAATAACTCAAAGAGCTCTCCAATGAGCAAAATGTACACAAGCATCATTTTTTACTTCTGATACACAAAATATGGACATGATGGGGAGAGGGCTAACATTTACTGAGTGCACACAATGCTAAGCACAGTGCTAAATACTCAAGGTGTTCCCATCTAATCCTAAAAATAATGGAGTAGAATTGCTATTTTTATCATTTTACAGGAGAAGAAAGAGAATCAGACTGGCCAAGTAACTAAGGCCAGAGGGCTCAAAAAAGGGCAGAGCTATAATTCAAAGTCATGCTTTTAATCTTCTACCAAGACATGCTGTCCACTGTCCTTTTCCTAGAATAATGTCAGCGCCTCAGAGCCAGTACCCTCAGTAAGTCCTAAAAGTTGAGTGCCTAGTACAAAGTGACAATGAAAGAGTAGTTTAAATGCACTAGGAAGGCTCTTTAATCCTATGCTCAGAACATGAGGTACAGGGAATTCTAACAACAAGAAAGGTATATGGAAGTTATTTGAGAATTTCAGCTTGAATCTACGAGCTGAATTATAAAGTAGAAAAATGCAAAAAAGTGGAATGAGGAATATATTGAAACTATACATAATACTAAGAATCAATACATCATCACTGAGAATACTGTCAAAATTCTCTCCAAAATGAAATGTTATGAATGTTTAATAAAATATAATAGAAAGTAAGATCCTCCCTTTATAGTCACTATCAAGTTAAAATTGAGAAGGTGACCCCATTGCTTTCATTTTTATAAACATTCTTTAATTTAAGTTGGACTGGGTCAATGGACAAGCTGACTGTTTTTGCTGGCTTAAAAGCCCAGGCAGTTTGGTCTACCTACATGCACAACGCTGGCTCCCAAGTCAGTCTAACTTTTATTGCTCCATTAACTTGTTAGACTTGTCCCCACACCTCTCTGTGACTCATCAGCTTTACCGACATGGGAATAACTTGTAATGGAGACTCAGGTTTACTAGAGAAATTAGAGGAAAACAGGGAACAATTACACTGAATACCTATTATTAGGAAGACTGTTTACTTGTTGTCCCACTTAACGCTCAGAACACTCCTCTAATGTTGGCTACCATTATCCCCAGTTCATAGGAAAGGAAACTGAGGTTAGTAGGTGGCAGTCAGGGTTCAAAGCCAGATTAGTCTGAGTCTGAAGCCTCTCTTCCCAGGTGCCTCCAAGGCATAGCTAAACAGAACTCTCAACATGGCATGTTTATGGGGCAGTAGTTCCAAAATGTATTCCAAAGAACACCAGTCAAGTTAAATGCTCTGTAGTTGAATAAACATATATTATAGCCCCCTTGGCGACTTTACAATGCATTTTTAGTTCATAAGAGGCACTAAAAAATCCTACAGCCTAGAAACAAACCTCTATTTGGTTTAGTATCTATTAAAATGCTTTAGAACTAGTGGTCCATAGATCAGATGCTCTGTATAACACACTTTGGGAATCAATGTTGTTTAAGAGCCCAGAGCAGTGATATTCAAACTTTTTGGTATCAGGATCCCTCCTTATACATGCTTAAAAAAATTAAAGAGGACTCCCTCAAAGCGTTTGTTTTTGTGGCTTGTATTTATTGATATTTACCATATTAGAATTTAAATTGGGAAATTAAAATAACATGCACCTATGAATTCATTTAAACACAAGAATAATCCTATCACACGTAACACAAAATTTTATGAAAATAACTTTTTTCCAAAATAAAAAATTGAGAGCACATTGTTTTATATATATACAAATTTCCTTAATGTCCAGCTTATGAGAAGATTAATATCTGCTTCTGTATTTGATTCACTGCAATATGTTGCTTTGTTTAAAGACACTCACTTCACACAGGTATGTGTTGGAAGACAAAGGACAGTTTTTTTAAATTTTTATTTATTTATTTTTGGCTGCCGTGGGTCTTCGTTGCCATGTGCAGGCTTTCTCTAGTTGTGGCAACAGGTTACTCTTCGTTGCGCTGTGCGGGCTTCTTGTGGCGGTGGCTTCTCGTTGTGGAGCATGGGCTCTAGGTGCTCAGGCAGTAGTTGTGGCACACAGCCTTAGTTGCTCCACGGCATGTGGAATCTTCCCGGACCAGGGACTGAACCCGTGTCCCCTGCGTTGGCAGATGGATTTTTTTTTTTTGCGGTACGCGAGCCTCTCACTGTTGTGGCCTCTCCCGTTGTGGAGCACAGGCTCCGGACGCGCAGGTTCAGTAGCCATGGCTCACGGGCCTAGCCACTCCGCGGCATGTGGGATCCTCCCGGACCGGGGCACGAACCTGTGTCCCCTGCATCGGCAGGCAGACTCTCAACCACTGCGCCACCAGGGAAGCCCTGGCAGGTGGATTCTTAACCACTGTGCCACCAGGGAAGTCCCAACAGAGGGCAATTTAAATAGCCTTTTCAGATAAATCTGTTATCATTTTTTGATACCATACCAAAACTCTACAAGTGGTAGTTGCTTAAAGGTTAGCTGCAATATAGAATCCAAAGCCATATTAATAAACTCTTTTGCTTACTCTTACATTAAAAATCCATTGGTGTATCTGGTGCACTGCATCCTGCTTTGGTCATATGTAAACTACTGGTTCATAGTCATGCAGATCTTCCAAATGTTGACACATTTTATTTACAAAACATTTTTTAAAATTACATTTGTTAATATCACCACTGGTCTCAAACACATGGCTGCAGCTAAGTTTTCCAAAATCCTGATTTTTGCCAGAAAGCTCAAATTTTATAACATTAGTAACAAATAGCATTAGTTGTTTTCCCTTAAGTGACAGTCATACTTGCTTCATTTTCAAGAAAATCTTTGCCCAATACCCAAGTAAGCTGTTCCTTCAAGAAAAATGGTGCTCCATAAAAAAAGAAAAGTCAGTACAGCTCACAACTCAAACAATAAAATAAGTATTTTTCCTCAAGACAACCATCATTCTTCAGTATGCAGCAAATGTGCTTTATGCATACTTCCCACTGCATCACACAAAATACTAAAAAGATATATGCTCAAGGGTGAAGATTTAATAAAATCAGGTTTTTTTTTCCTACACAGAACATTCTTCAGTGAAATTGGTTTCTTTCTTGTATGGCAGTAAAGAATACAATACTAT